CCTGTACATGGAACATCCCATGGGTTCCCATGGACACACGTGTGTTCTCTGGAATGTGGAACATCCCATGGACACACGTGTGTTCCATGGGCACAGGAGTGTTCCCATCGAGGGTGGGCACGGTGACAAGGGGGGGTCACAGTGGTGAGGGAGCAACGGTGACAAGGGGGGACACGGTGACAGGGGGGACACGGTGACAAGGGGGGGACACAGTGACAAGGGGGGGCACCGGCCCTTCTTCCCCTCTCTCCCCCCGCCCCGGGGCCGCCGCCGCGCCCTCCCCGCGGTGTCACAGCGGGACCCGCGACACGAAAATCCTTTCAGCGCCCGCCGCAAGCGCCGCTCGCCGCCGCCTCCCCCGCGCCCGCCGCGGCTCCGCCAGACTAAACAACCCCTCGGCCCGGGCAGGGCGGGCACCGCGGAGGGGGGGAAGGGACGGGGGGCAACATCCAGACCCCCCCATCCCGCTGCTTTTGGAGGGGAGGAGGCGGGAGGTGGTTTTTGAGCGGATCCCGCGCTCCAAACAACCGCTGGCGCCCACCCGGCTGGCACCGGGGAAGGGGCGGGATTGGCACCCGCCGGGGAGACCCCCGGGACGCGGGAGGGACCCCCCGAGTGCTGTTGGGGTGGTTGGGGAGAGGGTCGCGCCCCGGGTGGGTACCGCGGGCATCCTCGCCCTCATCCCGCCCTTCCCGCTGCCCGCGGAGCTCCAGGGGCGAGGAACCCCCGGGATCAGCGGCCGGGGCTGGGCAGGGGGAGCATCCCTGGGAATGCTCTGGATCCCATCCAGATCGGGGAGGCCGTCGGCACCTTTATATCTGCCCGAAATATCCGTCCCAGCCCGGCGCTGTGCCAGCCCGGTGCCACCCCCCCGTGCCCGCCGGGCAACCGAGGGCTGCGTGTCCCCCCCTCTCCCCGTCGCTCCCTTCTCCTCCTCCCACCTGTCTCCCACCCCCCCCTTTTCCCCGCTCTGATCTTCCCTCCCACCTCCCTCTCTCCCGGCACCTTCCTCTTTGATCTCCCGCTCCGCTTTTTGTTCCTTCCCCCCCCCTTTCCCTCGCCCCCCTCCCTCCCCATTCCTGCTCCATCCCCCGCCTCTGGATCGCTCCTTCCCTTTATCTTCCTCCTTCCCTGGATCCTTGCTCGGTTTTCCCTCCCCGGGGGAGGGGGCACGGGGCTGGCAGGAGTGGGTTGGGGAGGGGGGGAGTGGCACAGGGTCACCCCCGGGGTGGCCTCGGGGTGGGATTGTCCCCAAAATCGAGGGGTGCAGGGGCTGGGATTGTCCCCAAATTGAGGGGTGCAGGGGCCAGGACTGTCCCCAAATCAAGGGGTGCAGGGACCGGGAGTGTCCCCAAATTGAGGGGTGCAGGACCCCAGAGCATGAGGCCTCTTTGCTGCTGGGGTGCCCCCCATCCCGGGGATCCAGGGGTGTCCTATCCCAGATATCCCCGGGCACCCCATCCCAGGGATCCTGAGGTGCCACGTCCTGAGGATCCAGGGGTACCAGGTCCCAGGGATCTGGGGATGTCCCTGGGCACCCTATCCTGGGGATCCCAGGGCACCTGATCCAGGATGTCCTATCCCAGAGATCCTTGGGAATCCCATCCCAGGGATCCTGCCCTGAGAATCATGGGGTACCAGGTCCCAGGGATCTGGGGGTGTCCCTGGGCACCCTATCCTGGGAATCCCAGGGCGCCTGATCCAGGATGTCCTATCCCAGATATCCCTGGGCGCCCCATCCCAGGGATCCTGCCCTGAGGATCCTGGGCTCCCAGAGACTCTGGGGTCCCGGGAATGCCATCCCATGCCATTCCAGGCCCATCCAGGCCAGGCCATGTGGGGACTGAGCCGCTCCGTTATCCCCAGAAGGGATTTGTGCCTCCCTCTCTCCCGAGCCATTAGAATATTCCAGAAAAAAAAAAAAAAAGGGGCTTTTAGCTGGGAGAAGCGGCTCCTCCGAGGCGACTCCCCTCTCCCAGTGCCCTCCCGGGGGTCCCAATCCCCATTCCCTGTCCCGGGGGACGTCACCACCCAACACCCGCGTGTCAGAGCCACGTCCCTCCCTCCCGCCCCATCTCGTCCCTCCCTCCCGCCCCATCCCGTCCCTCCCTCCCGCCCCATCCCGTCCCTCCCTCCCTCCCCATCCCGCCCCTCCCTCCCCATCCCGCCCCATCCCGGTCGATTCCCGCTGAGCCGCGTGATGGGACACAGGGATCGATCCCAGCTCCCGCCGCTGCTGCCCGGGCTCGGGGGCACCTCCGGCCCGGTTTGGGGGTCCCGCACCCCTCGGGCAGCCCCTGGGAACCTCCCGGGATGATGGAGCAGGGGATGCCGGCGTGCCCGGCGCCCCAATCCCGATCCCAATCCCAATCCCCGGCTGATCCCGCAGTGGTGCAGACGCGGTTCGTGGAGGAGCCCGAGGACCAGACGGTGGTGGCCGGGCAGAGGATCGTCCTCTCCTGCGTCGTCCTCAACTACTCCGGGATCGTGCAATGGACCAAGGACGGGCTGGCCCTGGGCATGGGGCAGGGCCTCAAAGGTACCCGAGAATGCCGGGAATGGCTTTGGGAATGACGGGAATGTCACCGGGAGGGGCGGGGATTCGCCACGGGGGGGCTGGGGGTGGCACTGCACGGGGCAGGGGTGGCACCACAAGGGACAGGGGATGTCACCACAGGGGGCAGAGGTTTCCCTTCTCCCTAATTCCCAGCTCCCCGTGCAGCATTCCCGGCTTTGGGATGGTGCCCTGTGCCAGCTCTTTCCAATCCCTGCGGGCACCGAGCATCCCGAGGGGAGTTGGGATCACCCACGTGCCAGGGATCACACCCATGCCAGGGATCCCACAGTGCCAGGGATCCCACAGTGCCAGGGATCCCACATGTGTCAGGGATCCCACGTATGCCAGGGATCCCACATGTGTCAGGGATCCCACAGTGCCAGGGATCCCACAGTGCCAGGGATCCCACATGTGTCAGGGAACCCACAGTGCCAGGGATCCCACAGTGCCAGGGATCCCACGTGTGTCAGGGATCCCACAGTGCCAGGGATCTCATGTATGCCAGGGATCCCACAGTGCCAGGGATCCCACATCTGCCAGGGATCC